ATATACAGCATTTCTTTTTATTAAGCCCTGTCTTTGGTCCTGCCTGGGAAGGGGGAGTCACTGTATATTTTCAGAAAATCTCCCATTATGCATTAGTGAAGTAACCTGGCCAGGAAGACTAACATGAACCACAGCAATTTAAAAAACAAAGACCGTGTGCCATTTCAGAAGTACCAAGAGCAAATAAAACAGGCTGAGTTTGAAATCAATGCTATATCATAACCAGGATGGCTTTGTGTCCATCCTGGAATGCCTACTGTTTGAATTTCACTCTTTAAAAGACATCATAAGAGACTCCAGAAGCCGTCATCTGTCAGAAAGGCTGTGCAAAGGTCAGGCCCAGGTGCCATTTGAATCCTGTTGTTTCACTTCTGAGCTTCCCTGAATCGTCCCTGGCTTGTTTGTGCTGAACCAGGCTAGGTCTACCTTCACATGTAGACCTCTCAGGTACCGCTCTATTCTGTCCCTCATGCAAGATAAAGCATCCAGAAAGCACAATGACATTCATCAATGGAAACTGAAAAGAAAACACCACTGGAGATATGACTGATCCATTTGGACCTGAATTCTTTTCACCTGGTAACTATATGAATGACATGTAATAATAAAGATTATAAATGCTTTAAAAATTCTTCCCTGAAGAATAAAATGCCATACTGCCATCTTACTCTGAAACATATAGAAAATGAACACAATTGCTATCACCTCACCTGGATCAAACATCTTTTCTAATTTAAAAAAAAAAGTAATGCATTATTAGTGCTTGGATAATAACTTAGCAATACGTCCAAGAGTGATGTTACATTGTTTAAAGTGTGATGTTTATCTTCCAATAAAATCCATCTAAAATACAAATCCGAGCAAAGAATCCTGAGAAATATAGGACATCCCTGAATATAAGACAGACTTCTGAAGCTTGTACCATTTTCAGAGAATCACATGTGGGTCACTAACCACACAGAGCTCCTGAAGAGAAACGCAGGGAACAATGAGCCTTTGAAAAAAAAATGGAAGTGTCTTTCAATGCAGCCCTCACAATTGGTCCATCCACTGTGGAGAGCTAAAATTTCAGCAATAATAATCTGATAGTGATCCTTTAATAATAAAGCCCCCTGACTTCATGAAGACCTGCTCTGTATACATTTCCCACAACAGAGAAGGGTCAACACTGACTCTTGGCTAAGCTGGCCAAGGTGAACAGAGCAGAGCAGCGGGATGTAAATCTCCTGCTGTTTGTCTGCTGCCTGAAACAAACCAAGTGCTTCCAGAAGCACCTCACTGCCAATGTTGTTAGCAAGGTGCCATTTGGGTGAGGAACTGGCTGCTGGTTGAAATGAGTTGTCAACTGGACAGAGACAATGTCTTTGGAACACAACCCTCCCAAAGTCTGGCAGATAATAAGCAGAAAAAATGGAACAACCTATCATAACCTCCTTTCATCTTCCTCAATTCTGTAAAATTAAGAGTTGCTCATCTATGCCCTCTAATGACGCAACCTGGAGAAGGATCTGGGACCAGCTAAAAATGTAGTTGTCAGAAAACAGAGATGGAAACTGAGGGTTTCTGGATAAGGTGACAATGGTAAGAATGATGGCTAGCTATTATGTAACTCTTCTCTAACAGTTACTATGAAAACTACCTTTAACATAATTTCTCAGTCTCTACAAGAGTCCCAAGAGGGGGCATCATTATCTCAGTTTCATAGGTAATTAAACTGAAACACACATGAACTAAGCAACCTGTCCAAGGCCATGCAGAAAGTAAACACAGGAGTGGAGATTGGTTGCAGGACCAAACTACAGAGCAGAAGCCCTTGACCACTGTGCACATGTCCCTGGAGACCTACATCCTACATAAACAAAGGACAGGCCTCACCTGCAACACTGCCCGTCCATTTTTTCCCTCCTTTCTCCTGGCTCAAAAGAAAAAGCATATTCAAAGCAACACAGAGTAACTGGGATGTGGTTTTCTGGCCTGCCCTTCCTTCCTCTCTTCCAGCTCACTACCCAAGTAAACATTCATTTAATTAATCTAATTCTGAGTCTGCCTCATATAAAAAGCCAGGCTATAACAGAAAGGAAAAAAAAAAAAAAAAAGAAGAGAATAATGCATTAAGAATCATTAAGGACAGGATGCCATGTGTGGTTACATGCATCTGTAATCCCAGCACTTGGGGAGCAGAGGCGGGAGGCCTCAGCTATATATTGAAAAGGTGAGCTTGACAACATGAGATCCTACCCCAAAGAAAACAAGAAGAGTTAGACAAAGGCTACTTGGAAAGATGGGATGACTTGGGTAATAAACATTGCTATGGTGAATCTTGCTCCTCTGGATAGGTTTAGGTGCCTTGAGCAGGGAGTTAGTTACAGATGCAGATATAAAATTTCTAGGGATCCAGTATAGAAATTGTCAAATCTGTTGATGGCAAACAGATAGATGGCTCTGGGTGGGTCCATAACATGATCTTTTAAAAAGGAATCAACTACTGGAAAACTAACTTGGATTTAAAGGAAGCAAGAAAGAAAATCTTTAATGATGAAGGTAAGCTTGCCTATCTAATGAAAACTGTTTACTGTTGTATCAAGTATATACCCCCCTCTCTATTCTTCGTGACTAATGCAGAGGTTGTCTAGGGGTTTCTGGTTGACTGTCCACCAGAAACAGGATCGGAGGCAGAGGTAGCTCACAGAGTACACAGGAAACCTGGGTGATGTTTTGTTAATAGAATGAGCAGTGCATGGGAAGCACAGTAGGTGAAATCTTAATGTTAATGATGACAAAAGTCACAACCCAGCTTCACAATAAATATTCCAGCTGAACATCACTCCCTTATCTGCAAAGAATAGACAAGAAAATCTTAGCAGTCCAGGTGCTGTGCTCAATCACCGGCACATGTAAATAACCCCAGCATCAGTGGGTGGCTCCCTGGGTGCGTTTCTAGTCCCCATTCCTTGCTGTCTCCATGGGCTAATTTTTTAGAAGCTCTAAGTTATCTACTACAGTGTCCATATGGGAACTTGATTTAGTGACCCCTATACTCAGGAGGAAAACTGCTATCTTTTCCATATTAAAATCAAAGCATACCCTCCACAGAATGAAATTCCAATGTATGATACTATATCAGTGAACTGTGAAAGCATGCTAAGTGAAATAAGCCAAATGTCATTCACCTTGACAAGAAACACAGTACCTAGCAAAGGCCAACTCATAGGCACAGAAAGTAGAATCAAGGTTTTCAAGGGTGAGGGGAAGGGAGAATGTTAACTATTATTTAACTGCTTGGGATGGTGGGAAGTTCTGGGAGAGGATAGGGGTAATTACTACAAAATACTGAATATACTTAATAATGCCACTGTAATGTAAATCTAAAAAAGGTAAAACTGGTGAGTTCTGTGTAATGTGCATTTTAAATACAGTTTTAAAAATCAAAACAGACAGTATCTCTTTCACAATTGCCAACAAAAATTTCCCACAGAATTTCCCTTAAAAACAGATTTTAGAATGACATTCCAAGTTTCAGGAGGACTGGAAGCAGATTAACCTGTTTTGTTCACAGTCACGGAGTAGACTGTGCTCAAATGTTTGCAGGTGAATGGCTGCAAGAAAGAGGCTCTCCTCAGCAGTCATCACACTCTTTGCAAAGTTCCAAAGTGACTTTCTGAGAGAGAACACAATGATGTAGATTGCAGGGGGAAATGGAAATGTTGCTACCCAGAAGCCCCTTCCATCTCCTCTCTACTTCCTGCAAGCGTGTCTCCCAATGTCTTATACACAGTCTAGAGATAATTAATGTTTGCACGGTGAGGGCAGAAGGGGGTGGTAAAATCATGTTGAATTACTACTCTACTAGTCCCCTTTTTAAAATTACTCTTTTCAGATGTACCGTTCCTTCTGTCACAGGATGAAAAAATAAACCTCACAGCTTACACAAAGTGAAGGTAAAAATATAAATAGCTAGAACATATCACTCTCAGAAAAAGACACAGCAAATAGTGCATCATCTCAATAGAATTAGATTAAAAATAATAACCGTTCATGTTTCCATTTACTTTTGGAAAATCATAAGTGATCAAAACATAAGAAAATTCCAACTCTCCTTTGAACAAAATCCAAATATTTATTCCTAGAAATCAAAGTCCAGTTTTACACTTAAATTTTAGTAAGTACTGAGGCTCCTCCTCCAATAAATCACTTATTGCGAATCCTAGATTCCATCAATGTTTTTCTCAATAAGCTGATAAAATAACGAAGTATTCTTTCTTAGATTTTTTTTTATCACAAAATTATATAAATCTAGTTTCTGGCCAAGATGCAAGTTACTGATCGTTTGATCAACAGATATTCACTGACTACAACATTGACATTTCAAGAGAAATCCTATGTTCAAGCATACAGAGTACAAATATTTTAAAGCAAAATATCAAATGCCGACATCCTTAATATTCAGCACCTACATAAAAGGTGGACCTAGACAAATTCACATTCATCTAATGCATTAGTCTCAATGTAAACAATATGAAAATATATCCTTCAACTTCAAACCCCCTCAGTACTTAATACTATGCCCCAATTAATAAAACAAATAGAAATTCATTCTCTGTCAAGGTGTAGATTCCAACCTTGCTCTTCATCTTCTTCATGAGCAGGCAAGCCTCATTTTGGAGTAGCCTGTCTACTACCCCAGCCTTTCAAGCATGCAGGGGTTCTCCATCAGCATCTACAATGCTAACAACCCACTGGTAGAGCTAGCACTTGAGGCAGAACTGCATGGAGAATTATCACTTCTATGCAGAAAAGCAGAGCCACTAGAGATATAATGTGCTAAATGGCAGCTCCCTGACCTCCACTCAGCAACACACACTTAAACCAGGTGTGTTCAGGGCTCAAGGAGGGGAGGGATGAGATGGGCAGAGAAGCAGCCCCCCGGTCGGTCTCTAATACAGTAGACATATCAATTCCACTCAGATCCAATCCAGCTAAATTCGCAGACATCAGTTTACCCAGAGGAAAAGTGGTCTCCGTCCTTCAGTTGCTTGACTCAGAGGGCATTCAGCCGAGCATAACCAGGCAAACAATCTGCAAGATCTCTTTAAGCAATAAAAAAGACTAGTTTCCACAGAAATCAGACTCAGCTCTGGCAAAGAAGCAGTCACTGAACATTTTCTTCATCTCATCTCTGCTACTGGTGTTTACAAACTACAGGCAATAGCCTCAGGAGCCTCCGGAGACTCCCTGAGTAACCCCATCAGATCCTTAATTTAAACACCCCTTTATCAACCTCTGATGGGTTTGGCAGTTAAATAGAAGGGGGTGAGTAAAATGACATGCATAAAATGAATCCTTTTCAAGTTGTAAATGAGTGAGTCAGGATTCAGACTTGCCGAGATGCTCCCAATAAAAGCCCTTGCTGTAATTCCAGGCATGCTCTGTCTTACCGTTCTGCTGCTCTCTCTCAAGCTGGATTCACCTGGAACTCTTTAACATATCTCTAGCAATGTGTCTGCACCAGGCCAGCCTCACACAGCAACTGAATTCACATCTTTCTGCACTAGCAAGCTGAAATGGTACGGCCGTACTACAACCAAGAAAGGGGGAAGCATAAGCAGGGGGGAAGAAAATCCAGAAATCACTCAGAGAAGCTGATCTCAGAGGAGCAGGACCAAAAAATGCTATCAGAAGAGCACAAAGGACATGCTAATGTTCAGTAGCAAAAGCTTTAGCAGTTCATTTTTTTCCCCTAAAATAATCTATTTTTTTTTCCTCCAAACACGATGGACTTGCCTGTGGAGTTCCCAGGAAGGCAGAGGAACCGCGCTCTGCAGCAGCATTGCAGCCAAAGTAACCATGCATACGCTGTCCAGGCAATTCACAGCACACTGTCTCTCCAGAAAGATATTGATTTGCAATGCAGGGCTGCTCAAAAGCATAGAGAATGGAAGCCAAACAGCTAATGGTGATGGCACGTGAGAAAAACATTTAATCAAGGGATGCACCTTATCATGCACAATTCTGTTTTTTAAAAGCACTAGAGAAAGCCAGTAAGTGTCCTGAGTGACAATCCCATTAAATAATAATCTGACGTCCTAGAAATGGCTAAGTTTAGGCTACCATCATTAATGTTGCAAATGCTTGGAAAATGGCTTAATGTGTCTATATGCATACATTTCTCCTATGTAAATGAGACATAATGAGGACTCTAAAATTACCATGCCTCAAATACATGAGAAAAAAAAAAAAAAAACTCACAGGTGTAGCATTTACTGAACCAAAGTGATAGAATGCATAGTTATGAGCCTGAAGAATTACTGTGGTCTTAGGACTCACGACACCCTTAAAAATAAAATACCAACACAAACCAGAGCACAAAATCTTTAAGTCAATTGTGCCAAGTCATGCCAGAAGGTGCTGGGTGGCAAAGGAGTACTAAACTACTACTCTCTTAGCGCCCCCTACAGGAGAGAGGCTGATCTATCCCCCCGTATTTAGGATTTCCTATGCCTAAAAACAGAACCACTAAGGTTCATAAATTAGAGTAAGGCACGACAAAATTGGCAAATAATTTACAAAAGAAATTTAAAAGTGGCATGGTAATCTCACCTCATAAATGTTCAATTGTATGATGAATTTAGTTATGAGAGGTGGTAACTACTATGTTAATGGTGAGTGGGTCATACTCCCGAAGCTGTGGGCTTGAGTCTATAAGGCTGAGGAAGAACAATTTGCCCATCCCATCCCAACTAATCCAAACGAAACCCCTCGCCATTCTGCTAGTTCATCCTCATCACTCTGAAGACACCTCAGACATAATGACCTTGATTTTTTTCTGCAACACAAAAGAAAAGTCCCTGCAAAATCCTACCCAAAACAAACAAACGTTTTAAAATAAAAAACATTGTGTACTCCTTTCTTTATCAAGCTAAGAAATAAGTTATACACTTTCAGGAGGTGGGGTGTGTTTAAGTGCATGCATATGTATGTGTATTTGCAAGTCAGAAGTCAAGTTTAGATGTCACTCTTCAGAAGCCATCCACCTGATTGTCTGAGACAGTTTCTCACCGACCTGGAACTCACAAATAATGTACCTTGCTTCCCCAGTGCTGGGGTTATAAGAACAGACCGCCATGCCTGGCGCTTTACATGGGTTCTGGGACTGGATTCAGGCCCCCATGCGTGCACTGCAAACATCTGAGAAGCTGGAGGGAGGAAGCTGTGCTCTGGCTTATGCACATGTACATGCTCAACAGCGTGCTGCCTTCCACACACCTTGAGTCAGAGTTTCCTAATATCCAGGCTCAACCAAGACACTAGTCCACCCAACTTCTTGGGGGTATTTTCTCAGTGAGGAGGGAGAGCGGGAAGAAGCAGGACAAAGAAGGAGAAATAAAGAAATATTCAGCCAAGATAAAATGCTTGTACCCACTATCAGTCCACCTGAAACTAGAAGATAAGCCATTTGTTGCCTGAGGCAGGCAGGTAGGCAGGCAGCCACTGAGTGGGCCGGCAGAGCAAAGGCTCCAGGCAGGGCTGGTCCCCACTGACTGCAGAACTGAGGGGTACTTGCAGAGCCTGGTGAGTTCTGTTCAGTCAGGTGGGCCACTTTCCACTTCCTCGGTGCTTACACCTGCGGCAGCCATATTGCTCTTTGCTCTTCTCTCTGTCTACCATGGTCTTGCCCAGCCAATCACCGGGTCATTCAGCTGGCCCGGCTCTACCCAACTGGACCTTAGCAACCTCCTAAGCATAAGTCCGGCCCTTCCCTCCTCACCACACTTCACTGGTTCTATAAACTAATTTCTTTCATTCCTTTATCTTCACACCCAACCACACTATAAACCCCTCAGGAGCAGAGGCCTCTCTGCATTAGTCCTGAGTCTCCCCACCACCTCCATAAATAGGGGCTGGTGACAGGAGTTCAAACAAAGTCTGTGGGTCGGGGTAGAGTGGAAATGAACAGGGAGCTTGGAGAACATGTGAAAAGAAAAACACGGTGTCAACAAATACAACTAACTGTATGGCTGGTCATAAAACAGCAGTAAAGACAGGGGTGGGGGCAAGACATCAGGAAATTAATCAGTTTCCATGCAATGAAGAATGTCTTTATGAGGAACAGCGACATGTATCTGAAACTGTGGTAGAATGTTAATTTCAGATGTGTTACATTTGTTTATGCTGTGAAACATTTATTTAATGATGCAAAGATGTGTTGCATTCTTTTATGTTGCATTTGTTTAACTCTGTAAAACTATGTTACTTTGCCTGTCTAAAACATCTGACTGGTCTAATAAAGAACTGAATGGCCAATAGTGAGGCAGGAGAAAGGATAGGCAGAGCTAGCTGGCAGAGAGAATAAATAGAAGGAGAAATCTGGGAGGAAAGGAAGAAAGAACAAGAGAACAAGGAGAGAAAAATGTTAGGGGTTGGCCACACAGCCACACAGCCAGCCACGGAGTAAGAGTGAAAGTAGGATATACAGACATAAGAAAAGGAAAGAGCACAGAGGCAAAAGGGAGATGGGATCATTTAAAAAAAGCTGGCAAGAAACAAGCCAAGCTAAGGCCAGGCATTTATACTTAAGAAAAAGCCTCTGTGTCAGATTTATTTGAGAGCTAGGTGGCAGGCCCTGCAAAGGAGTGAAATCAGCAACCTTTTGATTTTCCAACGTGAGCCTGTGGAAAACTGAACAATATGGAACATCACTAGGGCACAGTAGAGGCTACAAAATGTTTGAGATTCAAAGAAAAAAGGCAGTAAGTCTTGCAAACAGACATCTCATTGGATTTGAGGAAAAATGGGAAATGAGACTGACTTTTTAAAAAGGCTAGAATCTGGCATCTATGTAAATTCATTTCTGAAAGGAAACCAAAGTTAATCCCCTGAAATACTTACCCTTACATCAGATTGCTTTTTCCAATTCTGAAATGTATCTTGTGCTCCTTCATTTTAAAAACTAGATTATAAGCACAATCTTCCTATTACTTCAGCTGGTGATGGGATGCGGTTGAACATTAGTGAAGTACATTCAGCTTTACAGTGTGCATGTAGGGACAGGTGAATCCCACTCTCAATAATCTGATGTCTATGCGCTTCCCTGCTTCACTCAAGACTCCTCCTTTCTGGTCCACCAGACTTTCCTGCAGGCTCCTTCTAACATCTCCACTCCCTGTCTCAGGGCAGCCACATTTGCATTGGGAAAATATCATGGCTAGAGTGTAGGTATGACTCTTAAAGGCAGAGCTGGGAACAGAGATGACAGTGTATAGTTTTTATCCTACCAGCTCTGTGGTGGTTCCTGTCTAACCTGACATCCTGGTTACATGTCACATGACCTGGAGCTACCCCCAGACACTGCAGAGGATGAAACATGAGGATGAAACAAGAAAGAAGCAAAGCAATGGAAGATAGGAATGCAAGAATGCATTAAAAAAAATAAAGGAAAAGAAAACATCAACTAAGAAAACTGTTTAAAGATTAGGTGAGGGTACCAGAAAAGGTTATGTAATGCATTATAACTTTGCCCATTTTATAAATTAATTTCATTAAAGCTATGAGAGAAACTTTAGTGTTATTTTGAAAAGTGATAGAAGATGGGGATTTATCAAAATAAGATGGTTATCAACTGATTACAATTCCATATAACCCTAGCAATTATTATGATTAAGCATTTACAATGCAATACTCATTATATTGACTGATTTGTAAATGTTGGTGTTATATTACCAAGCATAAACATAACCTTTTAGTAAACCTGAAAATTTTACAACACAATTCTCCTATGTCAATGACACTCAGTATCCACAATTCCTATATTTGGATTAACAAACAAACAAACAACTTCCTCAAAACCCTGCAACTCTGAAGGAGCTATGACTGCTTAAAAGCCATTGCATAGGTGTTCTCAAACAACCCTGTGTCACTGGTACCATTTCATGGGAACATCAGGATTGTTCACTCTCTCGTCTTTGAGTGTTTTCTGGACTCCAGAGGGGAAACAAGTGTGGCTAGTTTTATCAATGAACACCCCTCATTCTATCATGGCATGAAAAATTTGTTCTTGAAAAACTTTATCAGTCTTTTAAGTTGCAACTTACAGAAGGGAGATGGAAGGGAAAGGAGATGGAGGGCACTCTCAGAATTTATGCACTGCAAGCCGGAAAGAAAACAAAACAATTCTAACAAACACACTCACAGTGTCCCTATCTTCTTTTTTCTTTTTCTTTTTTAAATTATCAACTATGTAACTTTTTAACTGATGATTTATGTAGTATGTAGGTATATAGTACAAAGTGATGTTAGGGTTTATGAACAATTTGTAAAAAGCATTCAATCAAGCTAAGT